AATTGCAAATAGAATTATATGACAAGTCATTTTAGTTTGTCTGGGGCAATGCAAAGACCCACAGATCAACAGAGATGGTTTTGAGAATTTATGTTGTGAATTTACTCTTTTATGCACAGAAAGTGTAAAGGAAATATTGAAGGATTTAAAAAAAATGTTCAATTCAATTTTTATTGTAATAAAGTTTTTGAGCCAATACTTCAGTATACAGTATGACAGTTTTTTCATGCTTATCAAGATCTTTAAATAATGTTCATCTAAATAGCTAGATATATAACTTTTCCTCCTCTGTATGTTATACATATATTTTCTACTGCCCCTCAGTTAAATATGTATTTTATTGCTCAAAACAGATTAATTATGTACATGTTACAATAGATTATATTATTTGCATATGTTACAGTAAGCTATATTTTAGATGCTTTATTTTAAATATTTGGTAATCTCTTTTCTATACAATGAAAGTGGGTGTTGATAATGGTGTTCAAGCTCAAAAGGCAGTTGCTTAAATCTTTCCACTTCTGTTCTAACTATTAAATCTCATTTACAAGTTTTGGGCATCATGGCACTCAGCACCTTAATGTCATAATAACAACAAATTGGATTTTTAAACTTACACTGAACAAGTTATTTGTTTAGTGTACTTCTTCTGTTAACTACTAGGGGGAGCAGTTGACCACACATATCAAAATGATACCTTCTAAATGGGCATCACTTTTAATGCTTGCTTTCATTATGGTGTTTCCAGGGATGACTGTATGGATCCGGGCTTCCTGCTGTTTTTAGACAGGTAATATTTTATTGTGCTGTAATTGATGACCACCAGAACAAAGCCTCCCCTCCTAAAGTGATACTTGCTGAAGTATACGCATCACCAATACTGTTGCTCATATACTTAGGTTGAGCTATTTGAACAAACCCCTAACCCTGACTATTAACATTTGGCATGTAGCTCATCCTTAACCGTTTATGCACATGAACATTATATTGTGAGGCATGCAATTAACTTTCTAAACCGTTTTTATCATGTTTTTTTGAATGGTAAAACTCACACTCTACTCATATTAGAGATACCTGAGTGTGGTCTCTTATGACCTGCGTTCAGCCATGGCTCATCTGTAAGGGCAGATGGGGTAGAGCCCCACCAAAATTGCAACATTCTGCAACAAATATTTCTGGATTTTCTAAACTATTTTAAGTCATAAAATCAGCAGGATATGATAATATTAATGCATGAAGACAGTGCCTGAGCCCTCTCCAGCTCTACAGCACCCCTCAATTTTCTAGTCTATGGTCAGAAATGTAACTGCAGCTCGCTCTAATTGAGAGCCACCGGGGGAAGATTTGAGAAGCATATGAAGTATAAGTCCTTTATTGTAGCCTTTATATAGTTCTGTTGTGTTTCATGTTTGCTCTGAGAATATACACTCCTCACTGGAATTCCTCCACAACTTGTAATAATCTTAATATTAGGCAATGAATACTAATTCTAAGATAGCATTCTTTGCATGTGTTCATTAATTAGAATATAACGCCTACAAAATGTTTATCATAAACTAGCGACCCTACATTTACGGTCAGGAGCTGCTACTGCTTGGGCCAGTAGGCAATCATAGAACACCCTAGCAACTGCTTAGCAACATACCCAAAAAACACTCGGAAATGCAATCATTTAGGCACAGGCACATTTTTAGAGCATTGTTAAGGCATTTCTAGGACAGACTGATAATCCACAGCAGACAGCAGGTGGCTGTGTGTGTGTGTCAGTGTGTGTGTGTGTGTGTACCTGTTTTTCTATTCTGGTGGGGACTTAAACCTGAATACACACAGACTCATGGGGACCTAAATTGTGGTCCCCACGGGTAAACAAGCCAATAATTCACACAGAATGAAGTTTTTTGAAAATCTAAATATGCAGAAAGTTTCCTGTAAGGGGTAGGTTCAGGGGTAGGGTTGG